ATGCATGAGCACAAGTACACAGGTACACAACGTGGACAGCCTTCATTATGGAGAGTAAAAGTCAGTAAAGTAGCTGACATTTCTTTTTTTTTCTCAAGTAAGCCTGTCTTGTAAACTAAGCACGCTTCATGATAACATAAAGCCATGCTGTGTTGTATTACGACTTATGTGTAGAGGTAAACTTGCTCAGGCCCGGTTAGTCCTTGAGCAGTGTGAGTGCAGGCCAGCAGGGGAATGGGGAGGGGGGACAATCATGCTTAAGCACGGTACGGGACAACTTTGCTAGTGTGAGCATGCCCTAGGCTATAGCAGCAAAACTAGGAGCTGGTCCATACCTGAGCCAGCCTAAGTATAAGATTCACGAAAGTTCTCAGCCTTTTCTTAAAGGATAGAGTGTGTCGCTCTCCAGACCCTTACTGTTAGATGATTCCGAAGGAGAGGGGCTCAATAACTCAAGGCTCTACTTCCCATAGTACATTTAGAGGCCGTAGGTACCACAAATAGGCATTCATTCTGGGAGCATAATGTTCTCGAAGGGTAATACGGCACTATTAGCTCTTAAAGATAAAAATTTGCCTGGCCATTAAAAGCTCTGTAATTGAGATAGATACTATTAGCGCTTGCTTAAGGTGCCAGTGGATCTCTCAGTTATGTTCAGGCCTCAGACAGCTTTATTGTTGCAGCAGGCTTGTGGGGGCCTGACTGGGCATTCCAGGGGCTCTAGGCAGACAAGAGAGTCCATGCCACATCAGTGCCAGGAGTCCCAACATGGGGGTCAAGGTGCCTTGACACCCTACCAGAGGCCTCTCAAGGGTAGCCCTGCTTCTGCCCCCCTTGGGAGACATAGTAGAGGCTGCCAACTAAGGGTCATGGTGACTCCCCCACGACCATTCCAGAGCCCCTGCCAGCCTCCCCTGCCAGTCGGCTACAGGGACACTTGGTTAGCCTTGTGGGTAGACCCGTGGGTGGTCTTTACCATGACTCAAGGCTACTGCCTACAGTTATTTTGCAAACATTAATGCCACTGTGAATGATAGTCAGCATGTTGAGTCCATGTAGCTTAGGCAGGGCGGAAGTGGATCTGATTACTTCAAGAGAGTCTGCCATGGTAAGCGACTTCTCCAATATTGGTTGCCCCTCCAAAAGAATGGGGAAATTGGTTCCCCATCTCCAGGATGTCCTGCAGTTTTCAGTCCCAGCTGGAGAGTAAAGCAGAAGTCTGCTGACGAGCAGGGGATCAATTTTCTTACTGCTCCATTTGGCATTCTTGGCAGCCTGAGACCTACAAAGAAGTCAGTGGAAGTCATTGTCTAATTTCAACAGAAAGTCTGCTATGATTTTTTTAATGTCTAAAAAGTCTGTATTTTCACCGTTTACAGGGTACCTGTTTGAAAGCATCCACCTGAGAGCGTTTATCTGATCAATTCAAGTTTGGTGTCAAATGAAAGTAGACAAGTTGAAGAATAAAAGAGGTTTCGAAATAAGGCGCGCCCGTGGCGTGATTTCCAAGTTTGATATCGGTTTTTGCATCGTGCCAATAACAGTAAATGCTTATAACTCTACTATGCAGTGTTCAATCATCACCAAAAATTCATGCATGACAAAGAGCCTGCCCTGAACACATTATGATTGAATTTTTTTAATTAGTCACAGCGCCACCTGTTGACAACAAGAGGTCACTCCGTCCGAGCACTGTTTCCTTTGCACTAGTCATTGCTACACAGTTGCTTGTATCGCCCTCAAAATCACTGTTGACCATCCAAAGACTTTGAACATACAACATTTACAAGCACAAAGTCCTGCGTAAAAAGCTGTTCCCTTACGGACAAGTTGTTTGCCATCAAACAGGAAGTCGTTTTTTCACGGGCTTAACATAGTCGTACAGGCCCGAGACTTCATACATATAATCCTGGTACTAAACTCAAAGATCTTAATGGCTCAGTGGCGCCCCCTTCAAATTTTCTAAATGGCCTCCCCATAGAGGGTTTTATCACGTACATTCATGAAAATTGTTACGCATATTAAGCTTGTCAGGATGGACAAAAAATCCTCTTACAGTGTTTCAAAAGACCCAACAGGAAGTCCATAAATTAAAGTTGAACTTCACAATAATGGCCCAAAATCGTGATTTCAGCCTTCCTATTTGAACGAACTTGGCCGAGGGCGCCCATCCGATCGGTGCAATCTCAGTGTCAGTGCGTTCTAGACAGGCTCAACATATCTTGTTGTGCGCTGCACGTTATTTTGTCAAAAGGCGTGGCCGTGGCGTGCGTTTTGGCATCTTGCCAAAAAAGTAAATGCTTATATCTCATGATACGGGACCCGCCCTGAACACATCCATGTTTGAAATTTTCAAATAAGTCACAGCGCCCCCTGTTGACAACAGGAAGTTATTTCTACTCAATTAGCATTAGCCATTGCTACACAGTAGCTCAATTCCCCTCAAAATTGGTGTGGACCATGCTAACACCGTGGCCATACAAGACTTTCAAGCTCAAACGCCTACGTCCAACGCTGTTGCCATACGGACGCGCTGTCGCCATCGAACAGGAAGCAGTTTTTTCACGGGCCTAACATAGTCGTTCAGTCCCGAAACTTCAGACATATAATCCTGGTAGCAACGTCAAACATTTGATACCATTTAAGTGAGTGGGCGTGGCTTAATGGCTCAGTGGCGCCCCGACAATATTTCAAACATTCAGCCCCCGCAGCACGTTGGACCTATTGTTCTGAATGTTACTATGCATATCCATCTTGATGACACCTACAATAAACCCTCTTGCACTCATGCTCAAAATCCAACAGGAAGTCCACAAATCACATTGCCATAAACAGGAAGTGGCTGTAACTCTTGCTAACTAACGGCTAACTAGCTAAACTCATAAAACCGTTATGTCAACCAAGCAATTTCACAGAATAGCTCGCGCTAACGGTTTACCAGTTAGCTAGCAGTCATTTTGTTAGCTAGCTATTGCTAACAGTTAACTTGTTGTCTAATGTTAGTGTGCCCTCAGCTGAAATAAATGTTACTATTTTCCAGACGGCATCGCGAGCTAGAGGGGATATACAGGTATCTAATGAAACTGCACGAAATACTGCACGAAATACTGCACGAAATACTGCATCCATTGGTACAACATGACATGCTATCATATCGGGAAGAGGGGTGAATAACGTTCTCAAGTCAAGGTAGTTTAAAATGTCTCATGCATGATGGGCTACAGAGCCGTCTAAAATTAAGGCAATGCTGCCATCTTGTGGTGACTATCCATGATTGAAATATTTTAATTTAGAGTGTGGTTCCAATTTGTTCCACAAGGAGGCGTAACCTCCAAGTGAGACAGTTTAGTGTGCTCGGTAGCAGAAGCAGGAAAGGAAACACACCTGTTGCTATTATTTCCCTGTTATTTACAGGTGAGTAAATGTCACAAATCACATACATGTGGTCTACATATTCTTCTATAGCATGTGGAAGGTAACGCCATCCTTTAGTTTGTGTCAGGATGTGTTTTAAATTTGTTTTGAAGGTTTTCTGGTACTTTAGCTATGATGCTCATGAGCGCTAGCTTTGCTCATCGCCACGTTCATATATGTCTGTCATGGCTTGTCCCTAGCGCCCATGCTCTTTTGCTAGTTTTGTAAAGCTCCTGCATATCTCTTAAAGTAACCGTGGCTTCATAAAGACTGTTTGTTTTCATATTTTGTATTCATGTAAAAAGTGTAGCGCTAACTCCGCTAGCTTCGCCGTTTCTCTATGGAATTTCCCATGTTATTTGTTGGCATAATGCTAAGCGAGGATAAACTGGAAAACTGTTTTGCATTGATACGAATCGATACGAAGTAGCAGAACCGAATTATTTTATATTCGTGAAAAGAATAATAACACACAGAAACGTTTATTTTGTAGTTTTGAGAACTTTTGCATGTAATATAAGACAAGTATAACTTTATATATTTTTCTGTGCATATTGTGTTGAAGTATGGATGAAATGCTGTTTTTGAAGAAAGAAAATGAAACAGAAATACAGTTTAAGTAAAACTGAAATACATAAATATATTAAAATTAAAGACTAGCAGAAGCGAAAAATAAAGCTAGTCCGAAAGCATTCATCCGTTCGACACACTCTATGTCAAGTGTGTTCAAGACATGTTCAACACATCCCGTTGTGCTCTGCACTTCATTTCGTCAAAGGGCGTGCGTTCAAAGTTTGAAATGCATTTTGGCAACTTGCCAAAAAAATAAATGCTTATATCTCTGCCATGCAGTGTTCAATCATATTATAATTTCTCATACATGATACAGGGCCTGCCCTGAACACATCCATGTTTGACATTTTTTGCATAGTCACAGCGCCACCTGTTGACAACAGGAAGTTACTGCTTCTCAGTTAGCATTAGCCATTGGTGGGGATCATGCAAACACCTTGGCCATACAGCACTTTCAAGCTCAAACACCTACGTCCAACGCTCTCGCCATACGGATGCATCATTCGCCGTTAAACAGGAAGTGGCTGTAACTCTCATATACGTTGTCTGTTCTGCCTCAAATTACACAATCAGGGTTGGCCTCTGAACACACTGACATAACAATAGTTTAGGGTTAGGGTTAGGGACCTCAACTTTAACCATAGCGCCTCCTACTGCAAGGAATAAGTACTACAGACTGCTCAATTTGCTCATATTTCATAGCTATCATGTCAGTGCCAGCCTGAACTGTTCTACGAAAACATTTTCTGTGATCTGTGAACACAAATGTACAGGATGTGAAGGAGTCATGAGACCGGGCGGAGAATGATCAGACTGAATATGCCAGTTTAAAAAGATGTGTTTTGAGATGAGATTTGAAAATGGAGAGAGAGTCGATGTTACAGATTTGTGGTGGGAGGGAGTTCCAGAGGTGGGAACGCGACACTCCGAGAGGCCGAGAGAGTACAACCCTGCAGATATTATTCAGAACAGACTGAGACGTAGCGTGAGGCTGTATCGTTAGCGGTGTCATAGGTTTGACAGGTTTTCTTGGTTCCTTTTTCAGAGCACATGAGTTATTAATGTCTGTCAGGACCCAGAATCTTAAAAAGTGTAAGTAGTAGTTCTTTAATTAGTTTCTGTTTTGAGGTTTTCTGTGATTACCTCCCTGAGGAGAATGAGACTCACAGATTCCCTCAATTCTTTTAAATCCTTTCTTGAAACATACTTTTACAGACTTGCTTTTATGTGATGTCCTCTTCTTAATGTCTTCTTACTGGTTTGACTATTTTTATCTACTTTTACTTCTTACTGTCCTTTTATTTATGCTCTTATCTTAACTCCTCTTATGTTTTAACTTGATCATTTTTTACCTTACTTTGTCTTTTTATGTTTTATATGAATATATACTTTTTATCATTATAAATATTTTTTTCTTTTGATAATTTAATCACTTGTTTCTATTTCTTTTCCTGCTCTTACCTTCTTATTGCTGTTATCTTTTTATTTGTTTTTATCTCTTTTAGTTTCTTACATCTTTTTAAATCTTTGGTCCTCTTGGTCTCAGCTCGTGTTGTTGGGTTCTTGTGTTGCCTGGGTTCTTATGATGGTTCTTCTGATGGTTCTTCTGATGGTTCTTGTGATGGTCGGGTTATATATGTCTGTTGGGTATCGTGCACTTTGGGTTCTTTTCTGTTGAATCTGTTGCATTTGTTTGTTGTTACTGTTGTTTCTGTTCTTCTGTGTTTGGTTTCGTTTGCTTTGTTCTTGTTTTTGCTGTTTGTCAAAGCACTTTGTAAACCTGTGTTTTTAAAAGGTGTTATATAAATAAAGTTATTATTTTTTTATCGTCTAACACGCTCAGTCTGAAATAAAAACCTGTTTTCTGTAATGATAAGTGTGTTTGTTCTAAAAGGGGGAATCCACTCCCACGCACTCAGCAGCACAAAAACAATTCACTAGAAAGATTCAGATTCAGATTTGACTCCCTGCATGTGGCCTCTCAAACATCCAGAGGTGATTCAATCATTTGCAGTAACTATTAATCTCGATGAATGTACAGGATCTCTGAGATGAATGCTGTTTCTCATCCTCACAGGAGCAGGATCATTTCCTTTCTCCGACAAATGATCCCTTGTTATTTCCTGTCCCTGATCACATAAATGATTGAATCCTTGTTGATATAAAGGTTTGTTTTTCCTGTTTTCTTGTCCCGGGGACGCCTGCATGCATTCAATTTCTGGTACCACAGGGACCTATACGGGCTGCAGGGTTATTTTTGAAAAGGGACTAAAACCACCAATGTGACAGGAATACAGCAGAGCATTATGCATCCACTCTATTAGGAACTCTATTATCGCAAATGTCAAAAGTATTTGAAGATATCTAAATCCTTAAACCAGATTCATGCAACATGATGATTTGTGTTTTTCTTCCTTGATCCAACAGCGCCATCTGGAGGGCAGACTGTTAATAAGAAGGAACAAAACACATCTGCACAGATTATCTATCAGCTCTTTTTAAGGACTTGATTGGTCTCGGTCTCATGTTTCCTGGGTCCAAACCAAGATCTCCCACGACCTCTCTCCACCAATCACCCTGCTGCTGTCAGATTTTCAAACCGGTCCTCTCTCTTCTGAAGTCAGTTTGTCATTTCAGTGCGATCGCTGAGACCCCCCTCCGCCCCGATCACCTCCAGTCCAGCTCAGCAGGGTTCAGATCCAGCCTCAGAAACCCACTCCTCATCACATCCTGACTTCTTCTATCACCACCAGGGTCTAGACTCCTTAGGGGGAGTCTATCCTATCCTGCTGTCGGCCTCGCTTCCCCTCTGAGTTCTTGAAGTCATCATGGCGGAGTCTAATCAAAGATGTTACATATTTATCTTTTCCTGAACCATTAAATAAATATTTGTAAACTCTTCCTGAAGTCTCTCCTGATTTAAATATTTTATGAATGAAGCCGCAGTGAATGTGTGGATTTATTAAAGTCAACTTTATACACAAAGCTGACACTCTGGTGAGCTCTGATCCTCTGATACCAGTTTCCCACACAAAGTACCTCATCAGAATCGGAATAATGAAATCCTGCAGCCAAAAACTAATCCTGACTATTTAGTTATAATGATGCTAGATCTTTCTTTTTAATAACCTGCTGGCTTCTCCCTCAGGCATAATGTCACTACATGCCTGAGGAAGGAGCAGGGTTGACACAATACCTGAATTTAAAACTTAGAATTAATTCTAGTAAAAGTCAAACAGTGTTTTTTTAAGTTATTTTTTTGCCTTTATTTTGAAGGACAGCCGAAGAGAGACAGGAAACATTGGAAGGAGAGATTAGGGGGAGATGATATTGTTGGCAGAGTTGGTCATCTCACAACTGGAAGGTCGAGGGTTCGATCCCCTGCCTCCTTGGGCAAGACACTTAACCCCAAGTTGCTCCTGCTGATTTGTCAGTGGTGTATGAATGAATATGAATGGGATTAGTTACTTCTGATGGACTCTTTGCACAGCAACCTTTGAGCGCTTTGAGTAGTAAGAAGACCAGAAATGCGCCATACAAGCTCCAAGTCCATTTACCATTTACAGCCTCTGTGCACGGTGCACACAGCAGAACCGCTTTGCTGTCCTGTGCTCCCTCTTTTTGAGTATTTATGACAAGAGGTGTAGGTGTGCATCATCAGATAAATCCAATAAATCACAAGTCATAGAGCCGTATCAGTATGACAATATCAACAACATAACATAAGATAAAAACAACCCCTTCAAAAAATAATCACTGCCATTGTCTTCATTTGTCACCATCGTTCACAGTAACATATTTCAGGACACATTCTTAATCAAACACATTTCTCTTTTTGCTCATTAAACATCTGTTCAGTTCCAGTTCACTCTAATTAAAGAGCATTTATATGCACACAGGGAGCCTAATTAGATTCAAAGAGCTGCTCCTGATCATCATAATCGTCGTTTGTTGCTGCAGCTTTGATTCAAATGTTGCTGTTATATTCACAGTTATCCATAATTGTGTCCAAAATCCGTCTCTGAAAGAGGAAGCAGCTACTTTGAGTAGGCGGAGGATGAAACGACGACGTGACTGGTGTGACTAGTTTTTAATTAACTGAATAGATTTGATCCATTCTTACATATTTAAATGTGAAAACATGAATTATCTCTAATGAGAATTTAAAAAAAGCTGAAGCTAATCAACACAATGCACAGAGGCCTCTAACTGAGAGCGACCTTTATTTGTCAAAACGTCCTTCAAACACCCGGATACTAAACGAGCAGCGTCGATTCTAGAGCCTGTCGGGCCCTAAGAAAAATTTACACATTTAAGTTTTCACAGGAAGATTGGAAAGCTTAGCAGTGCGACATCATTGAGTACTGTCAGATGGGACCCCCCAAGGGAGGCTTTCAACTGTCATTGTAAAATTCTGAGTCTCTGCAACATGTGGTTTAAAGTTTGTCAGTCCTCGGTTTGGCCCCCTACTGACCAGGGGCCCCAAGCAGTGACCTGCCTTGCCTGTTGTTGTCAAGCAGCTCCTCTGTAAACGGGGCCGGGGCCTTAAATTGGGAAGGGCACTTATTTAAAGTTTTACTGAAACCACCTGGTTGGAGATTCATATTCTTGTTGTTTTTGCACGAGGGGAAGATTTTACTTTTTAACCCCTCAGGTACAAAATAACTACTCAGTTCTTGGTTTCTTTAAGACACCTTTAAAATAATAGTTTTTTATTTCACTTAAAAAGATTTATAGACCAGAACTTTTACTTTTACTCAAGTCAATAAAAGTAACTGTACTTTTATTTGAGTACAATATTCTTGTCTCTTTCCAACCCTGCAAAGTAATTACAGTGTGGTGGTTTTTTCTTTTTAACCTGGTGTTTTGCTAATAATACCACTAGGTGGCAGCATACCTCTTTTTTTACGGCGAGGTAAACATTACTGAGCAGCAAACACCAATGGTACACTGGTTGTAAGTGAAGCTTTGTCAAGCTAGTGTGAACTACCCGCAACATCCGGACATTTCAACTTCACAATAAAATCGTGAATTGGACCGATTACTTCCTCAGTCAGATGATGAAAAAATATATGTGGTTTAAACTGGTGAAATGTTTAATCAACATAAATGTATATTCTAACGTTTTTTGTTGTGCTAATACAACAAAAAAATTGGTTAATGAGAGCTTCAGATGTTAGTCTGATTACATGCACACTGTTTACCAGAAATAAGAACATGGGTTATTACCATAATGTGCCACCAACTCCTTCACTTCCAGCGCCTCTGCTTTTGTCAACAGGCAACTGCTTGGGGGCCCTCAGGCCAGTAGGGAGGCCCCCAAGGGCTGATAAACTTTGAACCACAGCAGTAGCTGTGAAGGCGGAACAGAGGGAGATCATTTCATCCCCATTACGCCTCCGCAACATGGGGAGGGGGCAACATCATATTTAAGGTGAAACGTCACAGGAACCTTAATATCCTGAAGAAAGTGGTAGCTAATCAGCTGTGTGACTTTCTCCATGACAACAGTTTATTTGAGGAGTTTCCGTCAGGATTTAGAGTCCACCATAGCACTGAGACTGCACTAGTTAAAGTTACAAACGATCTACTTCTAGCTTCAGACAGCGGACTTCTCTCTGTGCTCGTCTTGTTAGATCTTAGTGCTGCTTTTGACACCATTGACCATCAGATCCTGTTTGTACATGTTCATGATAAGTCCTCTATGCACACCAATGTTTGCCATGGAGTGCCACAAGGTTCAGTGCTTGGACCAATTCTCTTTACATTATATATGCTTCCTCTGGGAAATATTATGAGGAAACACTCCATACAGTTTCATTGTTATGCAGATGATACTCAGCTTTATGTATCAATTAAGCCCGATGGCACCAGTCAGTTATGTCAGCTAGAAACGTGCCTGAAGTACGTTAGGACCTGGATGACCAGAAATTTTTTGCTACTTAACTCAGACAAGACTGAAGTTATTGTGCTAGGCCCTAAAAACCTCAGAGAGACTTTTTCTAGTGATTAACTGTCCTTAATGACATCAGCCTGGCATCTAGCACCACTGTAAGGAATCTAGGAGTTCTTTTTGATCAAGATATGTCCTTTAGCTCCCACATCAGGTAAATTTCAAGAACAGCCTATTTTCACCTTCGTAATATATCCAAGATCAGGAATATCCTGTCGCAAAATGATGCAGAAAAACTAGTTCATGCATTTGTTACCTCCAGATTGGATTATTGTAATTCTCCTTCGTCAGGGTGCTCTGGTAAGTCTCTAAAGACTCTTCAACTATTCCAGAACGCTGCAGCTCGTGTACTGACCAGAACTAGGAAAAGGGACCACATTACTCCTGTGTTGGCTTCTCTGCACTGGCTCCCTATACAGTCTAGAATAGAATTCAAGATCCTTCTTCTCATTTACAAAGCTCTAAATGGCCAGACACCATGTTATCTTAAGGAGCTACTAGTGCCGTACTGCCCCTCGAGAGCGTTGCAGTCCCGGAGTGCAGGCCTGCTGGTGGTACCTTCAGTCTCTAAGTGTACTATGGGGGGTAAAGCCTTCAGTTATCAGGCTCCTCTCCTCTGGAACCGCCTTCCAGCCGGGGTCCAGGAAGCAGACACAGTCTGTATTTTTAAGAATAGACTTAAAACTTTCCTTTTTGATAAATCTTATAGTTAGGGCTGGTGCTGGTGTAGACCAGCTCTTAGTTATGCTGTTATAGGCTTAGACTACCAGGGGAACTGGCACCTTGAGCTCCTCTCTCTCTCTCTCTCTCTCTCTCTCTCTCTCTCTCTCTCTCTCTCTCTCTCTCTCTCTCTCTTTGCATATACAGTACATCATATTACTGCATGTATCTATCTGTATCTATCAATAACCACCTACTTTCCTGGGAACTCTTGAGCTCTCTAAGGCTCCTCAAGATCGTTGGTTGACGGCCTGCCTGAACAACCCCGATTATTATTGATTATTATTATTTTGAAAATAATACTAATGTAAAGACAAGAAAACATATCTATATTTTCATCTCTTTGTACAGTTTATTTAATGCAGTGTATAGCTTCTGTACAGTTTATTTTAAATCACTTAGCTGTTACTACAACTTATTTTTTTTTTTTTTTTACTTTTTTTTTTTTTCTTATAATGTTATTCTATTTTATATATAATTTTAACTTTTTTTGT